TTTTTTTTCCAGATAAATATTAGGTTGTCCCAAAAGTAAACTCCTTTTTCAATTGAATTGAAGTCTGTTAGTTATGCTACCAGGCTTGACATATCATTGGATAGAGAAAAGCAACTCTACAGTATGGCATTCAAAAATTTCACCCCTTAAAAACCAAAAAAAAATCGAAAAATGGCAAACTCCGCCCCCATCATGGCAGACTCCTCCCACATATGTGGTTTTATGCAGTAAACCTCGGTAATCACAAAATTGAAAATTTTATCTACGTGGTCTGGTGGTCGAGATACATGAAATTTAGCTTGAGAAACCTGAAAAAAAATGGAGCTTACTTTTGGGACAACCTAATACTTTTTTTTCAGATTGAGACATCCGAGCAGCAGCAGTACATGTTGGATGACAATGATCCTTCGCATCTTCCTCTTCAAGAAACGATTGTTTACGACAACATTACTGGGTCAGTTCTCCAAAAAGTGTCTTTTCATGCTTCAGTCAACTCTTATGTCTCAGGAACCATGTTGATCTTTTCGACTTGAATCTTACTGCTGACCTATCTGGAGAAGAACGTGTTCGGGTACTTATGGATCCAAAGCCTCCCAAGAAAGGTCGAATAGCTTATGATGATTATTATGATAGAATGGTGGTGAGTTTTACCTGTTTTTCTCTTGGCTTATCTCTTTATTGAGGCTTTGTTGTTATAGAATAAGAACATGCAAGAGGTGGTAGTAGATGCTGCGACTATAGAGATGGCTGCGCCGATCAAGCATCTTCGCTTGATGACTGAAGAGGGGCCTATGGTTATTGCTCAACCCCATAGTCGAATGAGGCGGAACCGCTTGATCCGATCGCAGTCAGATCGGCCGCATGGAGCCAGAAATCTGGATTGGATTATTGACGCTGTTGCTAGGGTAATTATATCAGTTTTTTGCGTTTTGCACCTGAAGAATGATTTATTTTGGGGCATTGACGTCGACTCTGCTAGCCCGCATAATCGACGGAAACCTGTGATGCATAAATGTCAATACTGTGGACGTGTTGATAAATATCCAAGCAAAATCCAAGCTCATATGAGAACGCACACCGGCGAGAAACCATTCAAATGCGAGATTTGTGGCATGACTTTTGCACAAAGAACTCCGATGCGATTGCATGTTCGACGTCATTTGGACCAAAAGCCGTTAGTTTTCCTAAATTTATGGCTGTAGTAATGCAAATCAAGCTCGGCTTTGCAGATACATCTGTACCATAGAAGGCTGCGATCTTCGATTTGTATCCGGTGCACTACTGAATTATCATCAACAAACAAAGCATTTCATGACCAAGAGGTTAGCTTTTTTAATTTCCAATAATCACTAAATTTTTTTCGCTTTTGATTTTGATTCGACTTTGTTGCATATTCGTTGTGTAAAAATAGATGCGTACTAATTAATTGAAACCAAGACACACTTGATTTGTTTTTTACGTCGATCGACAAATGTAAGCGATAGCTTGAAAAGTGTCACATTTCTGCGCGCGCGCTAACATACGTGAAGTTTTTGCCAGCTCTTCAATCAAAGTCAATTCGGAACAAACCGTTATCATCCGCTACCAGATTCGTTTGCAGGCGGGTTGCGGACTTTCTCTATCTCATGTTTAACCCATTGACGACGACGCCTTTTGCTTGGCGGCGATGTGGGACGACGCGGCACAACACTTTCGGCGTTGGAATTGTGGATTATTTACGAAGTGTAGAGTTGTTTTGTAAAAACTACAACCATCTTTCTGGACGACGTAGTCCATGGGTCCTAAGAGCGCAAAAAATTGGAAAAAATATCGAAATTTGGAAAAAATACAAGACCTGAAACGGATATGATTTTGCAAGAGCTGTGAGCCACCCGTTTTGCACACAGTCCCTGGCGGCAGAAAGTGCGTGAGCCACCGGTGGTTCACATC